TAGGCTTTTAAACCATTAGCTGGAATAACTTACTTTGATTGTGTTTGGTTGTGTTTTATAATTGGGATCAAATTAGGAAATATTTAATAGAATTTCCATCTCTCTATATGATTCACTTAATATGATTTAATATTTCTGATGCATACTGAACCTGTGGATCTTGTGAGGAGCTTTAAGGTGGCATCATCATAAACATCTCGTTAAAGTGAATGAAATTATTATCACAAACTATTTAAATCAATCCAGCAAATTTTACTTTAGAAATCTGTAGAAAATCTGTTGTTTTTTAGAACACCATTATTTTAATGACCCCTAAAATCTATCAAAAGATTACATTTTTCCTTTTTTATCCAACAGTATACCATCATCAAACTTGAGGTAAGAAATCTAAATTGTCTTAAACTCATAGTCTAGTTTTTCTATTTAATGGACGATCACAAGATTATACTTTAAGATTATACTCAATGAATGAAGGCAGCACTTCATTCAGTGAGCAGTTAAAGTGAGCCATTGGTTTCCATAAATGGAAATATTAATTTTGTTCCAATTGCATATGATTTTAAACTTATTAAACATATGGCCCAGTTTTATTTTTTATTTATTTTCTTCAACAGGATCCCAATAACAACAGGATTGGACAATGGCTCAATGAAACATCCAACAGCAAAATACTGCAGCTCTCCTACCCCCTAAACTCTGAGGCCCAGGAAGGATCCTACAAAATCATTGTGTCAGCAGGAGAAAATAAAATACAGCACAACTTTAAAGTGGAGAAGTATGGTAAGTTTTCTAGTCAATTCCAAAGAGATCTGTCCATTTTGGATTAGATGTAAATGTCTTGTGTTTTTCTCTAGTTCTGCCCAAATTTGATGTAACAATAAATGTAAAGGAAGAAGTTAGTGTTGGGCAGGAAGGAATTGAAGCTAAAGTGTGTGGAAAGTAAGTAAGCATTGATCCCTGACTAATGTTCTTTAGAGACCGTAAATCTTTAATAAAAAACAATATGAAATGGTTCTTTTGTGGATGACTTTTTAATCTGTTCTAATTTAACTAGGTACACATACGGACAGCCTGTGCCAGGAAGTGTTACTGTGAAAATGTGCCGACCTTTTTATGACTCCACTCCCAAGAGTCAGAGGAAAAAACCTCTTTGTGACATTCAGACACAGAAGGTATGGCTGATTATAGGTTTTTGTTCATGTTACTCAAACTTACCACTAAAGTCCTGTTAGGTCAGTAATTATTTTCGAATGCCTCACAGACAGTAATGACAATCACTGATTAATAAAATCAAAAAGGAATTACAACCGTGTTTATCTTTATCCTGGTTTTCTACAAAGAACCTGCAGGTTTTTTCCTTGTGGCTTATTTCTGTTTCTACCATTTGCTGGTTTTTAAAAATCATGAGGAAAAAGTCATTTCTCCTGATAAATGTTCATATAATCAAGTCATGTTCTAAAATATATGATGAAGTTTTCTTTTTTCTTATAGGCAGACAAAACAGGATGTAATACATTTGAATTCCAAATGTCAATTTTCACCAGAGGCGATCGACTAGAATTACAACATAAACTTGATGTCACTGCCACAGTGGAAGAGGAAGGAACAGGTAAGTCTTTTTTGCACAGTGCCTTTATTCTCATTTAAGAGTTTGTATTCGTGATGATATTATTATGCAAGGCATGACTGTTATTACATGGTAGCTTTTCATATTTAGGTACATCACTCTCACAAGTGAAGCAAATTCAAATCTCATATGTTATTGGAAAACTGTCTTTTGTTGATGTTCCAAATGTTTATGATCAAGACTCAGTGGTGGAGGGAAAGGTAAGAGTAACACTGTGATTTATTTGATTTTCTGCATCAAATATAAAGCAAAGCTTAAGTGACACAATATTGTACTTTCAACAGGTCAAAGCTGTTCACTACAATGACACACCCATGTCACACCAGTCTTTGTACCTGTTTAGAAGTACTTGGACTACACTCGTTCATCAGGAACTCAGAACTGACATCCATGGTTTTGCCTCATTCTCTCTCAGAACTTATGCATTGAAAGGAGATATTTTTCTTTATGTAAGTAAATCACAGCTGTATGCTTAACTCAGTGTGTCATATGTTGACATATTTAAATAAATGGACCAAAAGGCTCCATTCTGTGTAGCCTGGTAAAAACCAACCCGTTTGCACTACATTTTGATTCATACAGAGGGTCCAGGCTCTCGGCTGTTGAGAAACCATTGCTTCCTGGGGGCAAGGCTTGTGTTGAGGTTTTAAACGTTACCCAATTGCTGAAGTTGCCCCATAATGTATGTAATGTGCCAATTCGATGCAAAGAACCTAACCGGAAATTGCCTACGGTGCAAATTATCATCTTCATTCGATCTGAACCAGGTGGCTGCTAATGTTAATTTAATATCTGGAAGTGTGGTCAAAACTGACTGAATGCTCAAACGTACAACTTCCTTCTATTCCTCTGCTAAAACTACACTCAATTCTAAAACAGCACAGAAATTCAACAATATTGTTCACAACTACTACTTCTGTTTGGCCCGGTCACAAATCGACCAGAGACAATCCGAGTCAAGGGGAGAGTCAAAGAAGGAGCAATGTTTGTCGAGCGAAGCTGAATAGGAAGTCAATGGCCAGGCTACAGATTGTGTGAACTGAACAAAAGAAAATGACAATAAATGAAATCTTACTTAATCAGCTCTTTGTAATGTTTTTTTTTTCTTTTAACAGGTTAGCCCCTTACCATCAATATCCTACTCTACATATAAAGTTCCTCATATTTTGAAAGCATCTCACACTATTAGGAAGTCTCAACCTTCATCTGTTACAACAACCAGCTCCCTGAATATAAAAAGCAAGACAATACTTCCCTGTGACAAAGAAACAGAGATCTTTATTGAGTACACTTTTGTGCAGGAATCTCCAGGCTCTGTGGATTTCATTTACCTGGTGAGTCATATCACAAAAACAAACACAGATTGTTACTGTTTTCAGAAGAAGAAATCACACATACAGTTATATGCTTAGCGAGTAAGCCGATGTTTAGAAATTAGCCAGTAGAGAAATTGTGCTTAAACCAGCCATTAGAAGTGATTAACTAAAAATGACCTGTGTAAAGTGTCACAGTACAAATATGTTAATGGAAAATAAAACATTAATATTCTAGATTATTGATCAGATCTGAATTTAAAACACACCCACAAAAGAAACTAAAATGGTGAAAGAAATTGAATTACAACATATTGGGCACAAGGAATGTTTATATGATCTACAATCAGTTAGTGAGGAAATACAGTAATTTTCTTTTTCTATGACTTCACAGATGTTATCCAGAGGAGCTATTGCCAGTCAAGGACAAATACTGGTTGAGGTGGAAAATAAATCAGGTGAATAAATAGAATATCAACATTACCAAGTTTTAGATTTGTACATTCAAGAAATAACATTTGGACTGATTTTTCAGTGAATGAAGGTGAGGTGTCCTTTAAGCTCAACGTGTCTCCAGACTTGGCTCCAGAAGTCCAGATTATGGTTTACGCTGTCCTACCCAGCAAGAAGGTGATCAGTCAAAGTACTGACTTCTCCACTGAGAAATGCTTTAACCATAAGGTAAGTATGGATTTAGATGAATCTGTGAAATGACTCACAGATTTATGACGATACCAAAGATGTCTGATGGAGAACTCTCTTGGTGATCCGTTTAGTTTGGCTTGAAACAAGTCACTATATGTTGTATCAACATAACGATAATGTGAATTTCATTATAAATCACAAATTTATAAACAACCACAAGGTTACATATATTTATGTATGTATACATTACAAGTGCATATGTACATATAGGAGAGTGTGTATATGTATATATGTGTGTGTTTTTATTTTCTTGATTTTGAAGCTTCTTAGTCATGTCAAACTATTTATGTCATCATGTTTTCTTCTATTTGTTTCAAATATTTGCATAAGAGAGGGAGCACATAAGGAGAGACTGGAGAGAGAAAATTATTCAATACAATAAGAACAAATGACTGTGATGACTTTTAGTATCTTCCTATTAAAAATAAAATATCTTAATTAAAAACACAACAGCCATTGTTCTGCTCGTTCTCAGGTCTCTCTGGAGTTTTCTTCATCATCAGCTGTTCCAGGAGAGGAGACCAACCTGCAGCTGACGGCTCAGCCTGACTCTCTATGCGGTGTCAGTGCCATCGATCAGAGTGTCCTCATCAAGGAGCCTGGAAAGACTCTGGATGCAGAGAAGGTAACTCCTAAATATTAGGAGGTTTTTTTCTTCCATCTTTCAGATGAACATGATGAAAGGGAATGCTTTAAATTTATTTTTCCATATTGAAACTGCTCAGCGAACATCTGTTTCTAGATTATTACTTTGAAACGTGTTTCTTTTTCAGATATTTAGTTTGCTGCCTGTCAGAAAAGTATCAAAAATACCATCTGACATTGTGGAATCTACGGATTGTTTACCCGTGAGTCCAAAGAGAAAATATTCTTCTTTGGGAACTTTTATGTTCTAATAAGGAACTATTGATGTGCATATTGCTGTCCCTGTGTTGCTTAAAAATGAACAGCCCATTTTACATGAAAGCTTTGTTAACTCACCTTTTTATGCTGTGTGTGGCAGGATATGAAGAAAGTGGGACTGAAGATGGCAACAAACCTGTTTACTGAATTTTTATGTTCTAAAATGTTGTCTAAGTCAGTTTTGCAATATGGTATGCATGCATGGCAACTTTGTTGTTTGTTAAGAGTGACATGACAGATATTAGGAAAAAGTAATTCTGTCATTATTGCATCCTCGTCTTGTTTAATCTCCTCTTTCTTTTCTGTCTTTGTTCTGGTTTTCATTCAATGAACCTTGCAAGCGGAAATATCATCGAGAGGCCTGGTACTTGATGAAATCAGTTTAGTACCATCAAACTTTCAAGATAAAGATGTTGAAGGTGAAACTGAAGACATCTTAGAACCCACAAAGACAGTTCGCACCTTTTTTCCTGAATCTTGGATATGGGACTTGGTAGAAACTGGGTAAGCAAGGCGGATCATTAAGTCCTGAAAACAAAAATTTATTTAGCTACTTTTACTCTATTATTTATTTTTATGTATTTATTTAATCTATGTGCACTTTTAGGCTCTGAACAAAATTTGCTGTTATCAGTATGTCTTTATCTCAGACATGATCAATAAATCATATTTCAGAAATTAAATTTGTAAACAAAAATGTGACGGGGTTTTCATATGACTTGGACAAACAGAAATATGACTGCCCAAGGCCAGATTTCACTTTGGTGAAATTTATTTAGCTCTTCAAGTGAACAAAGATGGCAGGTGCAAAATTATATACAAGGACGTCCAGATAGGTCAAAACAAAACAGACAGCAGTACCTTCAAGGAAAGAGTCCATCACCTTCACTGTGACATGGCAGGAGTCTAGCCACAGACTGCCTCCCTGTGGCGCAGAGCCCTGCTTTTAAAGCCACAGGCTCCGCCCACAGAAAGACCAACCATGCAAACGAAACAATTACTTCTAATCCAAATAAACTCTTAAAGGGTACAAAATAATAATAATAATAATAATAATAATAATAATAATAA